TCCCACAAAAAGCCCCCCCACCTTTGCCTCACCCACAATGTGTTGCTAGTAGATGCCACAAGAAAAAGGGGAGGGCCATTTCTACCCCTTCCAGTTAGAGAGGGAGCAGTAAAGGCCTAGGTAGCCATGGATGTCCAATAGGAATAAGCAGCCAATGACCCCCCTCCCACCCTGGGATTTTAATACCTTATGTAAGTGCCAGAGAAAAGTCTTTTTCTGGGGAACTAAGAGTCAGCTCCTATGGCCTATTTGACTTTCAAGACACTTGGCGTCACATTTGGGACACCAAAGAAGCTTTGTGCCATGTACAAATTGATCACCTCCAAATCCAAATTGGGAAATGCTCTAAAACCAGAAAAGACTGTGTACCAGCAAGGTGCTAAAAAACGTTTGGGCATAGTGGAGAGTGCTTTTAATCTCAAAATTCAGGGTGCTTAGGCAAGAAGGTCACGGGTTTGAGAACAAGTCAGGCTACATGGATTCTGTGAAGGAGAAAAAAAAGGCTTTGGATTTTAGAGCATTTTTAGATTTTTATACTAGGGTTACTCAACTAGTGGAGTCTATATAAATACCCCCAAATTAAGAAAAACACTCTGAAGTGTTGAATACTTCGATCTTAAGCATTTTTCTTTTCTTTCTTTCTTTTTTTTTTTTTTTTTTTTTTTTTTTTTTTTTTTAGGCTTTAAAATGAAAGATTTTCTTTTCAATTACACTCTACTTTGCCTGTGTGTGGGCATGTGTAGGTGGTGAGTGCAGCTGTCCATGCAGGCCAGGAAGGAGCCTCCCTCCCTCTTACCCCCTCCGGGAAGCTAGAGTCACAGGCAGTTGTGAGCTGCCCGATGTTGGTGCTGGGAATCTGTCACAGGTCCTCTATAAGAGTGGCAAGTGTTTTAACTGCTGAGTCACCTCTCTAGAGTCCAGAGTCTGTGACCCTAAGCATTTTGAATAAAGAGTTACTCTGGAGTGACTTTCCCTCAGTCTGAGGCTGTTTCTACCTCAAACGCTTGTGGCTCCCATGGTGCTATTGGATATGACAACTTGGATTTAGCTAAAATCTCTAATATTTCAATTGTTCAGCAAGCTTTCACTCAACCTGGAGTGTAGCCTGCATTCTCTGATGGCCTTTCCTATGGGTTCCAAATCTGCTTAGTCAGTTCCCATAGTTGCATCAATGATTTGAAAAAAAAAAAAAACTCATAATACATTCATCCTGCTAACACTGATTCTTTGTTTAACCCTGTGATTTGCATATTTTTCTATTTTGTAGTTTTTATTATAGTGGCCTATAATCCCAGTGGGATGAAGTAGAGCATTAACAGTAATGTCCTTGTGTATATTATGGCCTACCCTTGAATGAAACCCAACTGCCACGTGTAAGCTAAAGTTCTATCTATCTGTCTGTCTGTCTGTCTATCTATCTATCTATCTATCTATCTATCTCTCACTCACTCACTAACTCATATTTTTTAAAGGTATGGTTTTTATCTCTGTGTAACAGCCCTGGCTGTCCTGGAACTCATGGAACTCAAGTTGTAGACCTTGCAAGCCCTAATTCACAGAGATCAGCCTGCCTCTGCCTCCAAAGAGCTGGGATTAAAGGCCTGTGCCAGCACAGCCCCTCCTCTCCTCCTAAATTCAACCCACTTCAGTTTTCCTTGGCTTCATCCCTAACATTCTCTCTTTCCTAGATATTCCTTTACACTACAAGTCAAAACAAAATGAACCTCACCTAGCACTTCAGTAAATGTCCATGCTTCTTCCATTTTCATTAAACTTCTAACAAATGTATTCTATTTTCAAATCTTCTATTTCTTAACCCACTGGTACCAGGTTTGTATACCTACCACTCAACTGAAACTGAACCCTTGACTATCTAAGGTTCAAATGTGCACAGGTTACCAAATCTAATTATGAAGGGCTTGCCAGTTGACTCCCATCATGTACCTCCCTTTACTCTTTGTAAGAGAATCTGGGGTGTACTGGTTTGAATAAGAATGGTCTTCATAGGTTCAAACATTTGCATACTTGGGCCCTAGTTGGTCAACTGTTTGAAGGATTAGGATGTGTGTCCTTGTTGGAGGAGATTTGTCCTTGCTCAAGGAGGTGTGTCACTGGGGGTAGGCTTTTGCCCAGTCCAGTGTCTCACTCTCTTTGCCTACCTCTGGCTAAGAATGTGAAGCTCTCAGCTACTGGTTCAGCACCTGCTTGCAAGCAACCATGCTCCCCCACAATGATAATAATGGACAAACCCTCTGGAACTACAAGCACACTCATAATTAAATGCTTTCTTTTTATAAAAGTGACCGTGGTCATGGCATCTCTTCACAACAATAGGACAGTGTGTTAGACACTGGCTGAGAAGATGAGTCAGTGGGTAAGCTGCTTGCTGTGCAAGATTGAGGTCCTGAGTCAGGATCTCCAGCACCCATGTAAAATCCATGCATGGTGATGGCACTTGTAAGTCCAGAACTAGTGTGGGCATGGGGTGGGAGACAGAGATAGTTGGATTCTGTGGGCTCACTGGAAAATCAGTTTCTCAAAACAACAACAAAATCCCAAACCAACCAACCAACCAACAACAAAAAACAAAAACACAAGGTGGAACCATAGTGGAAGACATCCAACATTGAGCTCTTATCTCCACATATACAGACACGGGGACACACACACACACACACACACACACACACACACACACACACACACTGGAGAGAGAGCCTGGACAATCTATCTACTTGAAAGATATATTTCCCATCATCTTTGCTTCTAGGAAAGGCATGTCACTCATTCAATCAAGGACAAAGAAATATAGAAGAATCATGCAATGGCATTCCTGGAACACTCTTTTAAAAAAGAGTGAATGAAGGGATTGTGGAGATTGCTCAGTGATTAGAAGCATTTGTTTCTCTTTAGAGGATCCAAAGCCCAGGTTCCATGGCTGTGGCTAGTTTGCATTCTGATCTCCAGGAAAGGTTTATTAGATCATAAAAAAAAAAATATAGCACCATAAAGTGTGTGCTTGGACCTGGACCTGCTTGGATTCTTCATTGATATGCTCTTTCAGAAAAGAAATAGAACTTCCTCTGGACACTAATCAGGATGATCATTAGTTGGGTCTTGAGATTCAAGGTCTTTCACGGGCTGCAGAGAAGGTCTCCATGTGTTGTACTTCTTGCAAGGCTAACATGGGGGAAAGATCCATTTTCTAGCTCCTTCATATGGAATTGGCTGGGTTTACTTCTTTGAAGTTTAATGAACCAGGAGCTTGGGTTACTCACTGGATGATGGCTGGAGGGGCTCTCATTTTATCACCATGTAGACCTTTCCAAAGAGCAATTTACAACGTAGTGATTGGCTTTGTTGGAAAGAACAAGAAGTAGTGGCGTGAAAGCAGGCTGAAAACACAGTCTTCCACGATGTAATGTCAAAAGAGGATGGCCATCGCTGTCTGTTGTTCTGTTGAGAGGAAACGTAAGGTGCAGCCCTGTACAAACTGGGACAAGGGCTACACATGCAGCCAGTTTTATGATACTGAAATGACTGAGAACCATTGACCAAGCAGTATATCACATATGGTGGTTTAAATGAGATGTCCCAATTTGAATATTTAGTATCCAGTTAATGGCACTTTTAGAAGAGGTTTAGGAAGGAGACCTTGGAGGAGGACTTGGAGAGTTCAAAGATGCCCACCATTTTGAGTTTGCTTTGTTTCCCTGCTCGGATGGAGTTGAAACGTCAATTGCCATATACTGTCCCCATATACAGAGCCAGTGGAACACTCCTGTTTTGCTCTTGCCTCCATGCTGCTGCTTGCTGCCACATCTCCCTGCTGTGACAAACTCATCCCTCTTCAACTGTCATTCCTAATAAACTGTTCCTTCTATAGGTGTCCTCGACCAGTGTTTTCTCACCGCAATAGGAAAGTATACCACACCACCTCTGTGTCCCAGGAGCTCAGGTGACACAGCATTTTATAAACACCAGGAAAAGACTAGAGATGGCCACAGTTACTGCCAATCAGCTCTACAGTTGGGACACTTTGTTCCTGTCAGACAGCATGTAGCACTGTTGAGAATATTGCTCTTTTTTTTTTTTTTTTTTTTTTTTTTTTTTTTGGTGTATTTTGAAAAACTTTCTAGGGAGGTTACTTGCCTTCCTGCCACCTGCCATCCCCCACCCCCAGTCTGAATAATTGCTATAATAATGCAAACTGTAAGCTTACAAACGTTTACTAAGGGCTAGGAAAACAACTTGGTGGCAGAATGCTAGGTTCCCTTCCCAGCAGTGTGCTGCACAGCTGCCCATCTCTTTTTGTATTTCATTTGCATTATTTACGTAGTGTCTCCATTTCATTTCCCACCTTTAGAGCAAATCTCCAACAAAACATTCCTCTTTATTTAAATAGGAGACACTTTTATTATGAAGAATTACTTTCTTAGGTCCAGAACTCAAGTATTCATATGAGAACTCAGCTACCAAGTTCTCATATGAAAACAAGACAAATTAGCACATTTTAATATCTTAAGATTAGTGAACTAATAGTTACCATATGGATTTACATTGATTTTAATGAGGCAAATTGTTATAAAAACATAGCTGCAATCAATGTGTCCAAATGAAAAACTAGCAAGTAGTTTGTTGGGTTCCTAGTGGACTCTTTTGTGCAGCTCCACTCCAGGCCATAGGGGGCAGAGCAGCGTTTTCTGGCTCGCCATTTTCGTCTTCGCTTCCTTCTCTGTTGGAACTGACCAAGTCAGTGCCGAAGGGAGAGAAAGATACCACGTAGGGTCAGTCGGCCTGCCCCAGGCTTGTTGTAATAGGGAATTATGCTCCCTTGCGATTAACTACTTCAGGCGTCTCATTTAAATGAGCACACTGCCACGCGTGGTGTCCCCTAGAGAACTCCTAGGCCGTGCCGGGGCGCATCAGCTATTTCCTCGTCCCCCGACAGGCGGCCAAAGACATGGTGCGCTCCGCCTTGTGAAGCCGGAAGCCGCTGCGGGCTGCGCGCGCCTCTCGGCCGGGAAGGTTCGAGCCGCGGGAAGTGTGCGCCGCGGCGAGCTGGCGCGCGTCCGGGCCCATGGGTCTCCATGGCGACGGCGGGGACTCGGCAGCCCGAGCCCGGCCGAGCCGCTCCGGGGGCCTCCGCGGCAGCGTGGCCGTGTTCGCCGGCGTGGCTGCCGTGTTCACCCTCACGCTGCCCCGCTCGCTGCCGGGGGGAGACTCGGGTAAAGTACTCGCAGGCCGCCCTCCTCCCGGGCCCCCTGTCCCCGGGCGTCCCCCATCGCGGGAGCCCAGTGCAGGGCTCCGAGTTCTAGAACTAGCCCTCTTTCGGTTTCTGGATCTCTGGCCTCTGTATGCGCGAGCTGTCCTTCTTCTGTGGCTTCCAGCTGATGAAATTTAACCACCTGTCCATTTACCGCCGATCATTTTCACTTTGCGATCCTTTTTGGTTCATAAATGGTACCTATCGAGCCCTTACAGTATTGCAGACGAAAAGACTGACAGTGAACAAATACCTAGAGCGTTCTAGTGTGCGTAGACACGACACAACGAGTTCCTAAATAAATTACATTTTAAGTGGTGGTCGTTTACGGAGGCACTAAGGGAATGTAGTTCAGAGTGGCAATGAGCAGTGGATCCTTCAGAAGACCAGGAAAAGCTTTCCTTGAAGTGATAGCACTTAGAACCTGACTATTAAGAGGGAAACTCTTAAAATGGGGACCGGAGCAGCTTGAAGCATCTCTCTCTCTCTCTCTCTCTCTCTCTCTCTCTCTCTCTCTCTCTCTCTCTCTCTCTCTCTGTGTGTGTGTGTGTGTGTGTGTGTGTGTGTGTGGTGGGGGAGCATGTCTCGCACAGATAAAGATGGGAATAATTGTTACATATTTGAATCTAGAAACGAAATTCCTGGTTTCTTTTATAGTCAGATCAAGTGACCAGTAACAACCTCAAAATAACCAGCAGTGTGTTTCAGGATGGTGCTGTAACAACATAATGAAACTATTTCCTGAAGAACCCATAAACTGCTTATCATTTCACTACATCAAACGTTCACCCAGATTTGGTGGCTGAAGCAGGAACGTTTATCATCTCCTAGTCAGTGGATCAGTAGCTCTCAGTGCAATTTAGCTGGGTCACTAAGATGTGGGCTGGAGTTGCAGACCTCTTGGCCCTATTTGGGGGGCATCTTTTTCCAAACCCAGTTGATTCTTTGCTGTGTGGCTCTCAATAAGATAGCTAATTCCTGTCAAAAGAAAGACATAGAGCACTCCTGACATTCTTTTCTGTCTGTCATTTTTGAAACCTAATCCAGGAAGTGATATGCCACTGCCCTGTTTTATTTGAGGGAGTCGGTAAATCTAGACCAGTTCAAAGGGGAGAGGATTATATGGCAAGAAAGCCAGGAGTTGGGGATTACCATGACTGGATTGCCCGACAGTTGAATGAGCCTTGATGCTCCATTTTCAGGTCATCTTTCCGGTTCTGCTGAGCAGTTACCGGGGATGGTGTTTGGGAATGGAGTTACCAACTTCCCAAGATTAATCTTAAATAGTGAAGTAGTTTTAAGGTAGCAAGAGGTTTGGTATTAGTATTATTGAGAGGTTAGCTAGCTCTGTACCCATTAAAAGATATCTACAACAACGTATGGTTGTTAGAGCCACAAATGTGGGATGAGAAGCATACTAACACTGCATTTACTATATGCCACTCATTGTTCTAATGGATTTTTGCCCTTCTAACTGCCCTAGGAGGTAGGTGTTGTTCTCTTTTGGAGGTGAGTGAAGTAAGGCTAGCCAAAGTCACAGTGAGTCAGGGCCATCCACTAAGAACCTACACAGATTGGCTTTCAAACTCTCCTAATGCCTGCTCAAAAGAATTTTGGGACATTGTTAAATTCTCCATCACACATAGTGATAATCTTTTTAAATTGTTGCGCATATTTCATGTGTCACCAAGAGAATAAAGTTGTGTATTCATCTGAATTACCAGACTTCTTACATATTCTGATTTGTTTAGTTGGATGCTGAATGATACTGCTTGGTTGCTTCTGATTTTTTATCATCATTTTTAGGAATCATCAATGAGCTATTTTCAACTGTATGCCAATGTGGAAATTTTGTTTATGTTTATCTTTGGTCATGTTGTTTCTGTGTTGAATGTACTTGAATGTTTATAAAATGTATATTCTGTCAATAAACAGAATACATCTCAAAACCAAATAAAGCATGTACTCTCTCTGATACGTCTTAAGTTTTACTCAATAGATCCGCCACATTGTGTGGCCTTGCCAGTTTTTTTTTTTTTCCCCCACTCTTTACATGCATATTTGTTCATGGACAGTTCTCATGGTCCTTGAGAGAAAGAATTAACTTACAGATAGATTTAAACGTTAAATATAGTGATTTTAATGGACGATATATGGGCATATGTACACTTGAAGCATCTACAGATAGCTCTGGACTTGCTACTAGTTTGTGTCTGGCACAACAAAGTTATGTATCTCAAACTCAAATATACTTAAAAATTTCCCGGCAAGTTTGAATGGAAATGTCGGAAGATCTTCACAAAGTTTAGTTCTGATACAAGTAAGGGAACTATACTATTAAGAGCTAGGAGAAAGCAAGAACTTGGGAGACACTGCGTTTAGTATTTACTTTTGCCTTCCTCTTTTTTACATTCACTTTAAGAGCATTCCCTTTGCTCTTGACTATGGATACATTATAGATTTCGAACAGTGGCATATTTTTGTTTGGATTGAACATTGCCAATAATTGATAGAAATTTGTCAGATTCCAGGTTTGTCCTTATAACAATGGAAGTTTAGGGGTAAAAATGCAGATTTATTTATTTTTCTTTTGGCAAGAGGCAGTATTAAAGTATAGTTTGAATACACTCCGGATGGGAGAGAATGATGGTCTTGGGAGCTGGAACTTAGTATACTTTGTACCTCAGGTAAAAGCAAAAAATAGACCAAAGGTGAGCTAAAACATGGAGTAAAATTGTAAGATCCTGTCTCTGAGTAGTTTCAAAGGAAGCAGTTAATAAACATTTTTCAAGTATAAACAATTTCTCTAAAAGAAGCATTCACAATATGAAAAATAATTGAGTTTCTGAGATGCCGGTATCAGTCATTGACCTAAGAGAGCAGTATGTGTCTGGTTACTCAAGGGGGCTTCTGTGAAGCAGTCATTCACTGGAAAAAAGGGTTTCTGAGTAGTAAGGATGACAGTGGTATGTCTCCACCACCCTCTTATGTGTGGAGGATTTGTTGTTGATTCTTTGTGGGTGGCCAGAAATGGGACAGGTGGTGTTTTCTTGGCAGGATCCTAAAATGACTGATGATTTTAGACTTAGTGAGAGAGAGACATGAAAAACAACTAGCTAGAATATAATCCTATATGGCAAATGCTAAATATAAATAATTGAGACATGTTCTGTGGAGGAGAGGAAATGATTAACTATAGAGGGGGCTAGGGCTGTGTAAGGAAAGGTGTTATTCCTAAGTGGCAATTGAACTAGGCCTTGACAGGTTTAGGGAAGAAAGGTGGAGAAATATTCCTGAAGGGATGAGTGGTGGAGGTGTGAAAAGCCCCCCCCCAATGCTGGCATTCAGATTTGGGGAGTATAGGTAGTGGAAACAAGGCTGCCAAGGAGACCTGCCTGACTAGAAATGACTTTATTGCTAAGATAGCTGAATTTAGTAACAGTAGCCGTTGAGAAATGCTAGACTAAGGATAGGCTCCAGCTTCTTGGTTTTGCATAAATTGGGGGAAGGGTTTTGCAGTCAAGAATAGTTTTAGAACAGAGATACATTAAAGTAGATCAGTCAAGTCTAGCTGTAGTCCAGGCCAAGGAAGGTAGAGGTCTACTCTTATAAGTAGGACAGTAGAAATTAAACGGAGAGTTGATACCTGTTGAGGAACAGAACATGCACACTAGTGCCTTTCCTAATAAGCAGAAGTAACCACACGTCAATATTCCAGGCTAATGTTTCACTGTGCTGCTGAGGTGAGACCTGAGTCAGACGTGCTATAGTTACAGTAACAGACGTCAGATTATTTGCTGTTCTGTAAACTTAGAAAGAATGGCTAGCAGTGAGGAGCTACGTGTAAAGAGTATAATGATATATTGCTCTAAAACATTATATTATGGGAGAGTTTACCAAAACAATGCAGATTGTTTAAATATACTTAACGTACTGTAGACAAGGTATCCAGATGCCAGTGTTGGGTAACATGGCACATATGACAGACAGTGTTCAGACCTCAAATATCTGCACACTTTGTCAGACAGCTGCATCTTTTTTGTTGTTGTTGTTGTAGGAAAGGCAGTCTCACCAGGTTTCCTAGGCTGACCTTGGATTTATGTTAATCTTCCTGCCTCTGCCTCCCAAGTACTAAGATAACAGGCCCAAACTGTTGCCACCCCTCTTAATGATTGCATCTTTATAAGCTATGCAATGTTCTTGAGAGAACAGTTTATCACATCCATGCTCTGCTAATGTGTTTGTATATTTGCAAATAAATAGAACTTTCAGAAAGGAAAAATGATTTTTTTTTTAATGAGAATTCACCTGTATTTTTACTGACCAGTTACTTAAAACTATGGAAGATAGTTTGTTAATAAGACCTAAGGGAGAAAGTACTCTTAGACTATTTCATGCTGTTAAATCTCCCCAGATTTACAGTTTTATCCAGTCAAATTAATGCAAAACCCCAATGCAAGCATCCGGATTTTGAAAACTTTGGAGGAGTGTCATTCTGTAATAGTAATTATTGGTTTTACATTATTTTTTCACAGGGGAACTGATCACAGCCGCACATGAGCTTGGAGTAAGTATTAGTTTTATTGTTTAATCAATGCTCTCATTAACAGTTTTAGGAATTAAGAAAGTTTAATTAAGCATGGAATAAAGTAGATTAATTTATTTTCAAGCCCTAGTTTTTAGTAACTTATAAGTACAGTACATGACAATTTACTTTAAGTTTTAAATCCAATTAACTGAAATTATAAAGCAAAGCCTTTACTATATATACAGTAGCTGGCTTATTATCATCCCAAATTTTGTATAAGCTGTGGAGAATAAATCGGGTTAACAATTTTAATAAGTTTATTATTTAATAAACTTTATTATGGTGTGTGATCCCTTTAGTCAAGACCTTATGACTGTCAGCACGGTGGTAATCCGATAGCAGTGTGGTCTTTCAACTCTAACCAAGGCATGTTTCAGGACCTGCCAGGTTTCAGTAACCTTTTAAATGACCCGAACATATTGTAAACCTAGAGCACAGACTGCTTAAGGTCTGGCGGTGGAATATGTCACCCTCTCTTCAGGTGACGTGTTGTAAGATAGACACACCAGATCTACTAAGAACACAGCTGTATTGACACAATATTACATCAGGAAGCCACTGTTGAGACGTTTAGTCATCGAGGCACAGTCCTCATGTTGGCCTGAGAAAAGGGCTAGGTTTTCAGCTAAAGCCAGTGTGACACATCTTCCCAGATGGAAACGTCTGACCATTGCTTCTTTCTCCATAGGTTGCCCATCCTCCCGGCTATCCTTTGTTCACACTGGTGGCTAGCCTGGCAATCACCCTCTTTCCATTCGGTTCCATTGCCTACAGAGTCAACCTTCTCTGTGGCTTATTTGGAGCGGTAGCTGCTTCACTCCTTTTTTTCACCGTTTTCAGGTAAAGTAGCTGATTAGTTAGTTTTGAGAATTAGAAATGTGGGTTCCTCATGGCCAGTTACATCTATAAAATCTTTTGTTGCTTAAGTGGCTTCTCTAAGTCACATAATTTCACTTTTATATGGGAATTTCATAACCCCTCAGATGTTTACACCGTTGGCTCTGCTTTGTACAGTGCAGTGGTGAAGGTGTCACTTGTCTGCCATCATAGTTCTCTGGTTAGGCAGGACTAATGAGGACTGTCATTTTACAAAGATGAGGGTGGGTTGACTTAACTCAGTGACACAAAGCTTATCTTTTGTAGATGGTAAATTCACTTAATTACTCACCGTGCTGCAGATGGGCAGCTGCCTCTCTGGCTGGTCCTGAGACCTGATTATATTATAAATACGAACGTAACTGCATGCTTGTGGAAACCAGGCTGTCACATTTGGGGTGTGATTTGAGCTGATTATATTATAAATACGAACGTAACTGCATGCTTGTGGAAATCAGGCTGTCACATTTGGGGTGTGGTTTTAGTGAGGTTTCACGTTGTCCCTCCATAGCCCTAGGCAAGGGAGACACAATAGATCCCACTGACTTGAGTGATGGAGGCATACCTAGTTGGAAGCTACTGTGCTTTTAATAGATTGATCACTATTTAGGACATTGGTGAATTCCTGTGCCTTTGATGTTTCTGTCTCCATTCTTAACTTGGTCCAAACCTGTTCCTAAGAGGATGACACCAAAAAAATATAAATTGTACTTTGTAGAAAAATAGGAAAAAAAACAAAACCCAGTGTCTAACAGCTTTTGCAAGCTTTTCTTAAGTTAAAAAAATTAATGTAAATATAGTATAATTTGAGTAGATTCAATTACCAATATTAATTTTGCCAACTAGCATTTTTAATATAATAGTCATCGTATTGTCCTTTAAATTCTAAATTTCTTTTGAATCACTTATAGAAGTGGAAAAGCTAACATACTAATTCTAAAATTTACCTTTAAATCTTTTTGTAGAAAGGGTTCAGAATCAACTATTACAATTTTGACAATGTACTAAATTTCATCCTTATCACTTGATGTGTTTCTGTTTAATCTTAACATATTTTCATTTATAGTCCTTTAATAGTCAGATTTAAAATAAGGACCTTGCCTGGGTTGCCTAGTGTTATGGGTATTTATTCTAAAAGATTGGAATAATTTTGATCAAAACTATTTCTTCTGAATCTTCTGTGACTAAGTACCTGTCAGTTTCCATTAATAGAAAAATTGATTTTTGATTTTTAAATATCTGGGTTGAAATTTGGAATTTAACTTGTTCAACATTGAAGACATGAATTACTAATTTTCACAATAAACTTGAAGATAGGCACTTCAGGGCTATGAATTGTGTGTGTGTGTACTGTCACATACTGAGGCAAGTAAGACAATTGGTGTTCTAAACCTTTCATATTTTCTCACATACTGTTGATGACATTCCACAGAAAGTTACTGTTTTTAAAAATCATATAAAAACTTCTTCCAAATCCAAATAGTTTTAGACAGTAGTTTTCCTTTAGTTGTCCAGTTTAAGAATAGATTTTATTGCTTACTGTGCTGGATTCTGTGAGTTTTAGATGAGTCCATTAGCATGCAACTCTGATTTAATAACACAGTTGATGAATCATCACGCTTGCTGACACTTTGAATCAGAACTCTAATATTAATAAAATGGCTATGTGAGTCATTTTACTAATATAGTCCTTCAGAAAAGTTTTTTCTCCCTGAAAAAGAATCCAACAGCATTATTGCTCACATGTACTTTAATATGAAAACACTTCATTATTTTGAATACAAATAACTGACAAGGTACAAGTCCTTTGGGAACAACCCAGTTCAAGTGGCAAATCTGTTTTGTCAAACAATAGACACCCTTCAGAAAGGAGAATCCATCTCTATGGTAATAGGACTAACAGTAGCCTATTGATTGAGTGGAAGAAGACATTATACAATGTCAGCTGGCTTGTTACAATTTCATTTGTTGTATGACCTGAACTTAACCTCTGAAACCTTTCTTCTGTGAATGTAAACCCAACAGCAGAAGAGTTTTTGCACACCCATTACAGTGGTGGTTTTTTCCAGCTCTGGCATACAGTAAATATATTCCTTTACAGGTTGCCTCCTTGTTCAGAATTTGTTTAGGAGACATTTCACTACTTTAATCATTTACAGACCAAGTCACCTTTCCGTTTTGTTGTTGACTATTGAAGGGTTTTGGTCCAGGAAGCATTTTGGTTCTTTCTTTCTCCCTTCACTTAAGAGAGTTTTACTGTACATGGAGGGTTAGAGCTGACTGGTGTGCAGTAAATTAATTCTTTTTCAGGTAATTGTTCATGGAGCATTCACTATATTTAGCTCTTGGGGTGGACATAAAGACCTTCTGTGCCTTTTAAACAAAGATTGTGTTTCAAAAGCAAATTTCTGTTTAAATGTGTTGATGTAAAAAGCTCCGTTTTTTCCCCAGTAAACATGACTTAGATTGAAAGAACAATTTATTCGTTGTTTCCAATTACTATGTAATTTTTGCTTTTCTTGTATCCTTCTCTTGCTCTTAAAAGCTGTAAGATATCATTAACACTGCATTTGTCAGTCTTTCTTAATGGTTGGCAGGAGCTGTTTTATTTGATTTGCTCAAATGTAAAAGCATATGAGTAAAATAGCAGACTGGAAGCAGTATGTGTCAGTGCAGCTCACTGAACTAAAAAGTGAGAGCGTGCCTCTTCAGGAATGCATGCCCTTTGGGGCACTGGAGAGCCTGCATTTTGTTAGGGGAACTTAATCTTTCATTTCTGTGAAATAATACTCCATTCATCCCTATATCTTTATATTAAGGCTGTGTAATTAAGTTAGTGTTTTAAAAGAACAGTGATTTTTCGTTTCAGGCCACTGAAGTAAATAATTTTTAAATTTGATAATATGTAATCTTTTAAAGTATTCTATTTTATTTTTTTAACGTATCCGATTTTAAATTTGTAGATGATATATACAAAATTTTTTAAAGTTGTAGGTAATGTAAATCATAAATATGAATGCCATCTAACTTTGCTTACTATTTGAATTTTAAAGTTATTTTCCAAGAAACGTCAAACTAGATCCTATTGTAGTGAATTGGGAAGCATGCTAAAGTTGCAATCACACATCTATGTCAAACACATCTCCTATGTGCTGCTGTCACTTACAGAGAAGAGAACACACTGACAGCATTGTATAAAAACGCCATACCCTGGGAAGGGTTAACTGTTCATAGTCTTCAGTGAGGGCACATCTTAGATCATTTGTTTGAGGAGGTACAAGGTAAGAAATACATTCTCAAAAGCCTTGAAAGTCAGAAAACTAGGATGAGGATGATTCCAGCTGTTCTTGACCAAGTGGAGCTAGCGAAAAATCCAAGCCACTGTTTATTGAGCATCCAATGAGAAATGAAAGTAAAATGCTTCTAGTGTTCATAACAAAAATCACTTTTGAAGAAAGCAAGGTAAACCATCCACTAAATAAGCAGATTTTCAGAGATTCTAAAAGTTCCTGTTCTGGAAATTTATAAAAACAGTAAGACCATTAGCACTGTATGGTAAGAATCCAGGTCTCTTAGTGTTGACTATGTTACGTAGACTATATGTATATCAGTAATCAGCGGTGTGTTGGAACTACAGACAAGTTCCATCAATCGTAGCAATAATAGTTCCGACAGGTTATTTTTGTGTCTGTGTTTTATGTGCGGGGTTTTGTCATTCTTATATGTTTCTAAACATTAGGGACTAATTTGATTAGAGTTTTGGAAAATGCTTGATTCTGAGCAGTGTGTCTGCTATTCTTACAGCTCCCATTTAGATTCCACTCAATAAAGAATAGAAAATTAAAATGCCATACCTTGGAGAATGCAGAATCTCCTGCTTAAGGGACATTTGGATTTTACAGCTCAAAGAGTGTTTTAGATTATTGCCATAGAGAATAATGTGAAGCGCTGCCTAATTTCGGAAGTAACTATGCATAAGGAACACATCGTCACCAAGCTTTCGTTCTTGGAAAAGAATGGGAAGTACCAGAGCATTCATTTCCATTCAGGGGAATATCTGTCTTGATCCCTGGTTAATTGATCACATATTTTCCTCATTCGTGTATTAAAATTGCATTGACTCAGGCTGGTTAAGCATATTAAGAGCCCAGCTCATTTGCATTTTCTCCTAAGTTGAGGGACATATTAGGCTCAAATAGCAGTGCTTCATTTTGAAGGGAGAAAAGCAGGGCAAAACTCTTTTAAGACTGTGGAGTCTTTTCTGACAGCTAGTCAGAGTTAGAATTAGTTCAAGGAGATGTTAATAATGCAGTGCCTGGCCTAATCCCTTTGATATCACCAGGTACCCTCCTGTTCATGGGTTAATTGCTTTAAAAGCGCAGGCAATATTCTGAGCGGTGGGCCGCTTCACCTTTTCACAGCTGTTACCATTGAGTGACAACTAAATCCCATGTGTAAGATGAGGAAGAGCTCAATCTCCAATTGGGAGAAAATTTATGTAAACCGCAATCCCTTCAGAATGTGCGGAAGTCATAGACTTTCTTGATTTACTCTGCTTTTCCCAGAAAGCTCTATTGTTCACTTTCCTAAGTCCCATCAACCCTTTGTAGCAGAATATCACAGCGGCAGCAGATAGCTTGAAATATATAAATGCTATCATAGCTCTGATTAATAGCAGTGCTTATGAGTCAAGCCTGATAACAGTGCAGCTCTCCACTCAATTTCAGATACTGCTAATGGAATCTGTCTTCTCCAATTGTAATATGAGAAGGCCTAATTTGCCATGGAGCTTGGAGCTGTCACCAGTAGGGGATTGTGGGGTCAGATGGGAGCTGCCAGGTTTTTGCCCTGCAGCTTGTATCTCTCACTTTGAATAGAGCAGCCCCCTGCCTGCCAGTTAGCTGATAGGCCGCCGTGGGGCTTATGCCACTATGTACAATAGGAAAGGGCTACATAGGCTGACT